GTGAGTGTGTGAGTGTGTGTGTGTATATAATAAGTGTGTTGTGAGTGAGTGAGTGAGTGAGTGAGTGAGTGAGTGAGTGAGTGAGTGTGTGTGTGTGTGTATATAATAAGTGTGTGTGTGTGTGTGTATATAATAAGTGTGTGTGTGTGTGTGTGTGTATATAATAAGTGTGTTGTGTGTGTGTGTATATAATAAGTGTGTTGTGTGTGTGTGAGTGTGAGCGTGTGTGTGTATGAGTGTGTGTGTGTATATAATAAGTGTGTTGTGTGTGTGTGTGTGTATATAATAAGTGTGTGTGTGTGTGTGTGTGTATATAATAAGTGTGTGTGTGTGTGTGTGTGTATATAATAAGTGTGTTGTGTGTGTGTGTATGCATACCGCTCAGCCAGCACCTCCAGCGGGCTTTTACCCTGGGCCCAACTCTTCACCATCCACCCAGAGTCCATGGCGGCCAAAAACCCTCGAGCTATTCCAGTTCCCATGGGCCAGAAGGGCTGAAGGTCACAACATATGGATCCAAAGTTAGTTTATTGTGAACAAATGTTTCGACCGGCTTCAAATCCAGGACCTTCTTGCTGAAAAGCGAGAGTGCTAACCACTCATAATGCTATACTCACCTTAGCTCTAACCTCAAACCTCACCTTAACTCTAACCTCAAACCTCACCTTAACTCTAACCTCAAACCTCACCTTAGCTCTAACCTCAAACCTCACCTTAGCTCTAACCTCAAACCTCACCTTAGCTCTAACCTCACCTTAACTCTAACCTCAAACCTCACCTTAGCTCTAACCTCAAACCTCACCTTAGCTCTAACCTCAAACCTAACCTTAGCTCTAACCTCAAACCTCACCTTAGCTCTAACCTCAAACCTCACCTTAACTCTAACCTCAAACCTCACCTTAGCTCTAACTTCAAACCTCACCTTAACTCTAACCTCAAACCTCACCTTAGCTCTAACCTCAAACCTCACCTTAGCTCTAACCTCAAACCTCACCTTAACTCTAACCTCAAACCTCACCTTAGCTCTAACCTCAAACCTCACCTTAGCTCTAACCTCAAACCTCACCTTAGCTCTAACCTCAAACCTCACCTTAGCTCTAACCTCAAACCTCACCTTAACTCTAACCTCAAACCTCACCTTAGCTCTAACCTCAAACCTCACCTTAACTCTAACCTCAAACCTCACCTTAGCTCTAACCTCAAACCTCACCTTAGCTCTAACCTCAAACCTCACCTTAGCTCTAACCTCAAACCTCACCTTAACTCTAACCTCAAACCTCAGCTTAACTCTAACCTCAAACCTCACCTTAGCTCTAACCTCAAACCTCACCTTAACTCTAACCTCAAACCTCACCTTAACTCTAACCTCAAACCTCACCTTAGCTCTAACCTCAAACCTCACCTTAGCTCTAACCTCAAACCTCACCTTAGCTCTAACCTCAAACCTCACCTTAACTCTAACCTCACCTTAACTCTAACCTCAAACCTCACCTTAACTCTAACCTCAAACCTCACCTTAGCTCTAACCTCAAACCTCACCTTAGCTCTAACCTCAAACCTCACCTTAACTCTAACCTCAAACCTCACCTTAGCTCTAACCTCAAACCTCACCTTAGCTCTAACCTCAAACCTCACCTTAACTCTAACCTCAAACCTCACCTTAGCTCTAACCTCAAACCTCACCTTAACTCTAACCTCAAACCTCACCTTAGCTCTAACCTCAAACCTCACCTTAACTCTAACCTCAAACCTCACCTTAGCTCTAACCTCAAACCTCACCTTAGCTCTAACCTCAAACCTCACCTTAACTCTAACCTCAAACCTCACCTTAGCTCTAACCTCAAACCTCACCTTAGCTCTAACCTCACCTTAACTCTAACCTCAAACCTCACCTTAGCTCTAACCTCAAACCTCACCTTAGCTCTAACCTCAAACCTCACCTTAGCTCTAACCTCAAACCTCACCTTAACTCTAACCTCAAACCTCACCTTAGCTCTAACTTCAAACCTCACCTTAACTCTAACCTCAAACCTCACCTTAGCTCTAACCTCAAACCTCACCTTAGCTCTAACCTCAAACCTCACCTTAACTCTAACCTCAAACCTCACCTTAGCTCTAACCTCAAACCTCACCTTAGCTCTAACCTCAAACCTCACCTTAGCTCTAACCTCAAACCTCACCTTAGCTCTAACCTCAAACCTCACCTTAACTCTAACCTCAAACCTCACCTTAGCTCTAACCTCAAACCTCACCTTAACTCTAACCTCAAACCTCACCTTAGCTCTAACCTCAAACCTCACCTTAGCTCTAACCTCAAACCTCACCTTAGCTCTAACCTCAAACCTCACCTTAACTCTAACCTCAAACCTCAGCTTAACTCTAACCTCAAACCTCACCTTAGCTCTAACCTCAAACCTCACCTTAACTCTAACCTCAAACCTCACCTTAACTCTAACCTCAAACCTCACCTTAGCTCTAACCTCAAACCTCACCTTAGCTCTAACCTCAAACCTCACCTTAGCTCTAACCTCAAACCTCACCTTAACTCTAACCTCACCTTAACTCTAACCTCAAACCTCACCTTAACTCTAACCTCAAACCTCACCTTAGCTCTAACCTCAAACCTCACCTTAGCTCTAACCTCAAACCTCACCTTAACTCTAACCTCAAACCTCACCTTAGCTCTAACCTCAAACCTCACCTTAGCTCTAACCTCAAACCTCACCTTAACTCTAACCTCAAACCTCACCTTAACTCTAACCTCAAACCTCACCTTAGCTCTAACCTCAAACCTCACCTTAACTCTAACCTCAAACCTCACCTTAGCTCTAACCTCACCTTAACTCTAACCTCAAACCTCACCTTAACTCTAACCTCACCTTAACTCTAACCTCAAACCTCACCTTAACTCTAACCTCAAACCTCACCTTAGCTCTAACCTCACCTTAACTCTAACCTCAAACCTCACCTTAACTCTAACCTCAAACCTCACCTTAACTCTAACCTCAAACCTCACCTTAACTCTAACCTCAAACCTCACCTTAACTCTAACCTCAAACCTCACCTTAACTCTAACCTCAAACCTCACCTTAGCTCTAACCTCAAACCTCACCTTAACTCTAACCTCAAACCTCACCTTAACTCTAACCTCAAACCTCACCTTAGCTCTAACCTCACCTTAACTCTAACCTCACCTTAACTCTAACCTCAAACCTCACCTTAACTCTAACCTCAAACCTCACCTTAACTCTAACCTCAAACCTCACCTTAACTCTAACCTCAAACCTCACCTTAGCTCTAACCTCACCTTAACTCTAACCTCAAACCTCACCTTAACTCTAACCTCAAACCTCACCTTAGCTCTAACCTCAAACCTCACCTTAACTCTAACCTCAAACCTCACCTTAACTCTAACCTCAAACCTCACCTTAGCTCTAACCTCAAACCTCACCTTAGCTCTAACCTCAAACCTCACCTTGGCTCTAACCTCAAACCTCACCTTAACTCTAACCTCAAACCTCACCTTAGCTCTAACCTCAAACCTCACCTTCTCTAACCTAATTAGCTCTAACCTCAAACCTCACCTTAACTCTAACCTCAAACCTCACCTTAGCTCTAACCTCAAACCTCACCTTAGCTCTAACCTCAAACCTCACCTTACTCTAACCTCAAACCTCACTTAGCTTCAACTCTAACCTCAACCTCTCCCTTAGCTCTAACCTCAAACCTCACCTTAGCTCTAACCTCAAACCTCACCTTAACTCTAACCTCAAACCTCACCTTAACTCTAACCTCAAACCTCACCTTAGCTCTAACCTCAAACCTCACCTTAACTCTAACCTCAAACCTCACCTTAGCTCTAACCTCAAACCTCACCTTAACTCTAAACCTCAAACCTCACCTTAGCTCTAACCTCAAACCTCACCTTAACTCTAACCTCAAACCTCACCTTAACTCTAACCTCAAACCTCACCTCACCTAACTCTAACCTCAAACCTCACCTTAACTCTAACCTCAAACCTCACCTTAACTCTAACCTCAAACCTCACCTAACTCAAACCTCACCTTAACTCTAACCTCAAACCTCACCTTAGCTCTAACCTCAAACCTCACCTTAACTCTAACCTCAAACCTCACCTTAACTCTAACCTCAAACCTCACCTTACTCTATCACCACCTTACTCTAACCTCAAACCTCACCTTAACTCTAACCTCAAACCTCACCTTAACTCTAACCTCAAACCTCACCTTAACTCTAACCTCAAACCTCACCTTAACTCTAACCTCAAACCTCACCTTAACTCTAACCTCAAACCTCACCTTAACTCTAACCTCAAACCTCACCTTAGCTCTAACCTCAAACCTCACCTTAACTCTAACCTCAAACCTCACCTTAGCTCTAACCTCAAACCTCACCTTACTCTAACCTCACCTTAACTCTAACCTCAAACCTCACCTTAGCTCTAACCTCAAACCTCACCTTAGCTCTAACCTCAAACCTCACCTTAGCTCTAACCTCAAAAACCTCACCTTAACTCTAACCTCAAACCTCACCTTAGCTCTAACTTCAAACCTCACCTTAACTCTAACCTCAAACCTCACCTTAGCTCTAACCTCAAACCTCACCTTAGCTCTAACCTCAAACCTCACCTTAACTCTAACCTCAAACCTCACCTTAGCTCTAACCTCAAACCTCACCTTAGCTCTAACCTCAAACCTCACCTTAACTCTAACCTCAAACCTCACCTTAGCTCTAACCTCAAACCTCACCTTAACTCTAACCTCAAACCTCACCTTAGCTCTAACCTCAAACCTCACCTTAGCTCTAACCTCAAACCTCACCTTAACTCTAAGCTCAAACCTCACCTTAGCTCTAACCTCAAACCTCACCTTAACTCTAACCTCAAACCTCACCTTAGCTCTAACCTCAAACCTCACCTTAACTCTAACCTCAAACCTCACCTTAACTCTAACCTCAAACCTCACCTTAGCTCTAACCTCAAACCTCACCTTAACTCTAACCTCAAACCTCACCTTAGCTCTAACCTCAAACCTCACCTTAACTCTAACCTCAAACCTCACCTTAGCTCTAACCCAATGAAACTTTGATCCTGGGCAAACAACTTTGACAATGATCCTGGACTTGATTTCTTGGTGATCTCACGAGTTATGGTACAGTCATGGTCTCAAAGAGTTTCTATTATGAGGCTAAAGCCTAGTGTATACTTGCGCGGCGTGGCTTACGTTAGCGGTTGCGGTGGACCTACGTAAGCACAATTGATGTTATACTGGCGCGTTCCCCTTACGGAGTTTTGAGGAGAATGTTGTAATCCCACAACAAACCACATGAGGGCGATCACACAGGAGCGGTCCCATTTACGCTGCTACTTTGTCCTCTTCAGAACAACAATAGCAAACAAAGCTGTTTGAGCTCATTACACGTGTTTCTACTGTAGGTTTATGTGATAGTTTTATGGATTCATTATTTTATAAGTCATTTCAACTGTGATGCTGTGAATAAAGACAGTTCTGTTGGAAACATAGTTATTATTAAATAGTTTTCAGCACAAACAGCAAAACAATAATAGTGGTAAATATCTGAGACAAACATGAACGATTTACGAGTGCAGGAGGAAAGCAACAATATATATATATTAGTGCTGTCCAACGATTAAAATATTTAATCGCGATTAATTGCATGAATTTCATAGTTAACTCGCGATTAATCGCAAATTAGTCACACATTTGCGTGCTGTGTGCAATTGCTTTTTTTTATTGAAAACAATGTGTAGTGTTATATTACACACTAACATTTGATGCAAAATCATCAATAAATGGATGACAAAATAAATAATTTGTAACAAAAAGCCCCTTCAATGTGTGTGTGTGGGTGTGTGTGTATGTGTGGGTATAGACCATAGACTGTATAGAAACATCATGGTGTCATTATGATGATGATAAACAATCTGTAAATATTTTGTAAATTTGTTCATGTAAATACTCTATGCTGTTTCTCTGTTTACCTTCGGTATATCTATGACTGTATACTGTTTGCTTGTATTGCCTTTTTTATTAACCCCTCCCCCCATCTCCCACTTCAGCCCTAGACCAGCTGCAGCCGCCACCAGCCCTAGACCAGCTGCAGCCGCCACCAGCCCTAGACCAGCTGCAGCCGCCACCAGCCCTAGACCAGCTGCAGCCGCCACCAGCCCTAGACCAGCCGCAGGCGCCGCCGCCACCAGCCCTAGACCAGCCGCAGGCGCCGCCGCCACCAGCCCTAGACCAGCCGCAGGCGCCGCCGCCACCAGCCCTAGACCAGCCGCAGGCGCCGCCGCCACCAGCCCTAGACCAGCCGCAGGCGCCGCCGCCGCCAGCCCTAGACCAGCCGCCAGCTGACCCGGACATGGAATGTGGACTCTGCACATCTAGACGAGATGTTATCAACAATCTTCTTGAAGAAAACAGACAGCTGAAGCGTGAGCTTGATACGTACCGGATGAATGAGAACTTTCTGAGTGGTGATGATAACACAGTGAAGTATTACACGGGGCTTCCAAACTTTGCATTGTTCCAGACACTTCTACTCTACCTAACTCCAGATCTGCCTCAAGGTAGAATGAAGAAGCTCTCACCCTTCCAGCTTGTCCTATTGACTTTAATGCGCCTCAGACTGGACCTTCCAATACAGCACCTCAGCCATCTGTTTAGAGTACATAGGACAACAGTCGCCGATGCCTTTCACCATACCCTTGGTGTGATGTACGCACAGCTGTGTCCATTGGTGCACTGGCCAAGTAGGGAATGCTTATTGACCAGTATGCCACACCAGTTTGTGGAGTCATTTGGGAACAATGTGGCTGCCATTGTGGACTGCTTCGAGGTGTTCATTGAGAAACCTTCCAATGTACTAGCAAGGGCACAGACTTTTTCTCAATACAAACACGCATACACTATGAAATACCTAATCGTGATCACGCCCCAGGGTGTAATTTCCTTCATATCGAACGGGTGGGGTGGGCGCACAAGCGACAAGCATATAACCGAGCAAAGTGGTTTCCTGAACAAACTTTTACCAGGTGACATTGTGCTGGCAGATAGAGGCTTTAATATAAGAGAACATGTGGGCATGATGTGTGCTGAAGTGAAAATACCTACATTCACCAGGGGTCGTGCTCAGCTTGAGGCGAAAGATGTGGAGGAGACTAGGGCCATAGCACATCTCAGAATTCACGTGGAGAGGGTGATCGGTGTTGTGCGCAACAAATTCAAATTCTTACACTCAACTGTACCTGTGCACATGCTTGTCAAATGTGAGGGTGAAAACCTAATGCCTTTGGATAAGATTGTCATTGTTTGCTGTGCCTTAACGAACATGTGCAAAAGTGTTGTTTGAGTACCTTATTTTTTACTGTATCTTTTATTTTTAAATAAATGCATGAAACAACTTGATATGGTTTACCAATATTTATTGAGAAATGAATATTTTTTTTGTTACAAACGTGTGCAGTCAAAGTACTGTTTCCAGCATGTAAACATGCCCAACATAGGTAAAAATGATAATAAGAGTCATACTTTTCTTAGTGCAAAGGGACACAAAACACTGCTAAACAACGTGTGCATTCAAAGTACTGTTTCCAGCATGTAAACATGCGTATAATTTAAAGTGCTCTGGAATATGAGGAGCGCGTGAAATTCTGGGGGCGTGCCCCCGTTGCGCAGCCAATATGTCAGACAGGCTCAGAGCCCCCCCCAAATCACCCCAACTCGGCACGTGACTCCTCATTCTCAATATATGTTAGATATAAGTTATATATATGTTAGATATAAATTATATATAAGTTATATATAAGTTATATATAAGTTAGATATAAGTTAGATATATTATATATATGTTAGATATATGTTAGATATAAGTTATATATATGTTAGATATAAGTTATATATATGTTAGATATAAGTTATATATATGTTAGATATAAGTTATATATAAGTTATATATATGTTAGATATAAGTTATATATATGTTAGATATAAGTTATATATATGTTAGATATAAGTTATATATAAGTTATATATATGTTATATATAAGTTATATATAAGTTATATATAAGTTATATATAAGTTATATATATGTTATATATATGTTATATATAAGTTATATATATGTTAGATATAAGTTATATATATGTTAGATATAAGTTATATATATGTTAGATATAAGTTATATATATGTTAGATATAAGTTATATATATGTTAGATAGTCCACAGTCTCCTGTATATCAGGCTCTGAGCCCAAACTGCTTTTCCTTCGAAGCACAAAGCTCTCTGCTCCATAGTGCCTCGTCCATGCTCCTGCTACAGCCGCTCCGTGCTTCCTTCCAATACACACACACGGACCAATCACAGCGGAGCTTCTCTCACACACGGACCAATCACAGCGGAGCTTCCTTGCGGCGACCCTTACGTAGTTAGAAAATTTCGATGCTGCGCGGCAGGCGACGTAAGGGCCTTGCGGTGACCAACGCGTTGCGCAAGTGACGTCACGTCACCTCCGTAAGCTCCGCGCCGCGCGAGTATAAACTAGGCTTTACTTAGAGCAAAATTGCAACAAAAAATTATGACAAATATTGATCCATTTGTTATAGAGTTAAACGAAAAATGCCCCATGTCTTACCTCCAGCAGACTGTCACCTACAAGCGCCACTAGCAGCTTGTGGCCGCTGCGCTGTCGGACCAGGGCGGCGTTCTCGGAGGCGTACATGCAGGTGAAGTCGAACATGGCCACGTCGGGCTGACCGTAGTGGTTTATGGCAAAGTCCAGAGTGGGCAGCTGGTGGTTTGTGGAGAAGTCTGCAGCTTCTCGTGCGTATGAAAGCAGAGCCGCCTGGTCCACATTAGCCCTGGAAAGCAGCATCTCTGTGTCCGTGTAGTCCTGTAGCAGATCAAATATATGCAGTCATTATGAACATGATTACATTTACAATATTCATTTATCGAACAATTGGTGAATGTAGGGATATTATCGGCGTTTGTTTATGAACCAATTAAGAAGATTTAATATTTACGCTAAAAATATCTACTCCAATACATTTCAGAACAAAAATGTACAGATTCTTGGGATGCATGTGAAAAAGTTTTGGGTTGTATGCTGCCGACACACAACTTCATCCTGTTTGCTGAATAACTGTAGTATTTGGTGTCAGTATATTAAACATTACCTAATTAGTACTCTTCCAGTTATTAAACATTATAACTAATAAATCATAATATTAAATGCATTAGAATATATATATAGATGAATACAAGATGTTACAAAAAGACCTTCACAAGTCTTTCCAACATTCAACATGATATCGCTGCTTTCATAGAGACAGTGTTTTCTTATAGAGTGGTGAGAAGTGAGTTCCTCCATCTCCGGGATGTGGCTGCTCAGTGCCAGGCTGGAGACGGGGTGTGTGTGCGTCTGTGTGTGCGTCTGTGCGTGTGTGTGTGTGTCTGTGTGTGTGTGTGTCTGTGTGCGTCTGTGTGTGTGCGTGTGTGGTGGAGGGAGGGGCAGGAGAATGGAGGATATGAGCTGGACTTGTTTTCTGACGGACTGCTTGGAACGCCATGGACTCGCTGCCCTCCACGGCCCACTTCCAGGCGGCCCACTTCCAGGCGGCACTACACTGCGTCATACCGGAACCAAAGGCCAAGTTCATGAGTTGCTTTTTAAGAGCCGTTTCCTGATGAGTCATTAACCCATTGTATTACTAAACATTAAAAGGTGAACCAGATTGTTGAGCAGAGGGTTTTATTCAGCTGCTTTCCTGTAAATGTAAATACTTTGGTCAGATCTGTGGAGAGCAACTCCTAGTATTTCATTTTGCATTTGTAGCAATAACATTGAGTTTGACAGTGGGACATGTCAGAAAAGCTTCAGCTTAAAACACACAGAGCAAACTTAAAGTATTGCCAAACTGTGTTGAATTCAGATCTGTTATAATAAATCTAATAAATATAGATCAGATGCTCCCATGTTAAAGCAGGAGAACTGCATTTTGTATTTTACACATATTTTGTGTCTGAACAGAAAGTCTTGTTTAAGCAACTCTTTGTGAAAAGATCCGACCTCTGATCTCGAGATGATCGGCTAAGTCGGGGTAAGTGCTCTCTCACAGAGATAATTAGACTTCAGAGCCTGAGTCCTGGATCTGTGGCCTGTCCGTCCGTGGGAGCAGATCTCTCACTGTCAGCTTCCCGAGGTTTCTCCCTGTTCTCCCACTGGGTTTAAGAGTTTTCTCTTGCCGATACAGAAGGGTCCAAGGACAGTGGTGATGATCCAGTTCTCTCGACATTCAACCACATTTATGGACCGATGGCTCAGAGATTTTTTTATCATAGCATTTCTTGAGTTTGAACTTTTTGATTCCCCAATCTGTGTTGCCGAATTCAACAGTTTTGTACAGCCTTCCGAGATGACTACTAGGGGTGGGAACCTAAGGGTACCTCATGATACGATACAAAGCTCACAATAACGATATGAGATGTGTTATGTAGCCCTATATTAAGTATTGATACCTATTTTTTTTTTCAAAATCGATATCGATACTTGGCAAATGCATATCGATAATCAAAAAATCGATATATCGTCACACCCCTAATCACTACTGTTGTGATTTAGGGCTGTACAAAACTGAAATAAACTGAATTGAACCAAACAGATTTCATGACAGTTAATGTTTTAAGTTTAAAGTAAGGTGTGTTGCTTTAAGGGTTGCTCATCAGTGTTTTCCTTACTAACTGTGCCTAAATCAGCTGCTTTTCACTCATTCAGACCTTGTAACATGCAGTGGAGACGAAACTATGAGCCTACAGAATGAATGGATACAATGGGACAAAGGTTTTGAATGTTGAACAGTATTGAATCACAAGTAGGGCTTGCTTGTGTCAGCTCTGATCACTCACACGCAGAATGACTCCTTTCTCGAGCAAGCTCTGCTTTTTGGCAGTCATCACAAAGTAGTGCGTGTCATCCTTGTAATAGACAATGTTTTCCAGGTCAATTCCTAGAGGGATAAAAGGAAAGCCCGACTGTTAAAATGAAATAACACATTACGCTGGTGCCAAAAGTGGAAAAAGCAAGAACCAGGAAAGGAAAGGCAATAGACAGTTATTCTTGTGATTTCATTATGAATAACAACCAGCAGAGTGTGGAGTCAATCACAGTCAAAGAAGAAGCTGCATGACAGACCTGTGGCTTCTCTGAGGTCTTGAAAGAACTTCTGATTAAAGATAAAAGCAACACCGCTTATCTCTTCTACTTTTGCTTCGGCTGTAGTGTGTCTATTGATAAAGTTTGCAGTGATGGCGATGGCCAATTTCCCCCTGAACTCCTTCCGTCGGAAACCTGAGGGGACAAACAACAACATATATATGAGTAAACATATAAAAAGGACTTTCTGTGAACAATAAAAAGGCAGGTCACTGTAAGTCGTCCTATCCACAGAAGTATTAAGACCAGACGGTGTCAAGGAGGTTTGTGCACTGCCTTCGAATACGCTTCTTCTATCTACAAATAGATCAGCGATGCCCACTTGATACAGTTCGACTCAGTGATTCAACCTGCGCCTGTAGTGTGATTTAACAATAGTGTGTTTAAACACTTTGTGTGCGACTATACCATCGGTGCTACACTGCAAAAAATGATAGAATATTAGATGATAATTGCTTGAATCTGGTCTGACTGCCTTAAAACAATATTTGCCAATGGGACAAAGCCATTTAGTGGGTTTCTCATTCTAAGGGAGACATTTCTTGAATGTTTTTAAAGCAAGATGCTTTTGCTTATCCCATTGTTTAAAGCAGTCAAAATGTGCTCACAATAAGACACATTTTGCAAATTTGACACGCTACTATCAAACTGTACTGTTAGGTCACCACCTGAGAAGAGTTCTGTTTCCTGCCACTAGGATTTCTACTTTGCCCAGACCTTCAGGTGCTTATACCTTCAGGTGCTAATACCTTCAGGTGCTTATACCTTCAGGTGCTTATACCTTCAGGTGCTTATACCTTCAGGTGCTTATACCTTCAGGTGCTTATACCTTCAGGAGCTTATACCTTCAGGAGCTTATACCTTCAGGTGCTTATACCTTCAGGAGCTTATACCTTCAGGAGCTTTTTCAGATGTACACTGTTGCATGAAGCCATTACAGATAATGGCAGATGGTCACACATGTTCAGACCTAATGCAGTGGGTTGTATCCCCACAGGGACAAAAGCACAAGAGCAAATTCAACAGTTTCCATGTTCCTCTCCTCCGCTCTCACTGCAGTCTGTGACAGCTGCACACATGTGGCCAGTATCTGTTTATAAGTGCTGTCAGAAGCAAACACTTGGCTTCGTCCACAGACCTGACAGAAACTATGGTGATGCAACAAACAGAGCTGCGGAGACTTGCCTGAAAGCGTGTTCCTCCTTCCATCTGCCCCAATGATCACATCAAACTCCAGCTCGTTCACAGGGTGCGTCCTGGGGAGAATCTCAGCCCTCCAGCCGATCCCTGCAGACGCACAAACTTATGTAAGTACGCAGATCAAAAACTATGGTACTACACTGCAGAAAGTGATGAAAAATATGTGTCTTGATTTGAGCATATTTTGACTGCCTTAAAACAAGATGGGACAATGGGACAAGCAAATACAAGAAATGTTTCACTTGGAATGAGAAAATAAAGCATTGTCCCATTGGAGAATCTTTTTTTAAAGACAGTCAGAATGTGCTCAGAGTAAGATAAAAACCACTCGATTCAAGCAATAGTTACTTTTAATCATTTTTTACAGTGTACTTCTCAATGGCAGACTTACGCTCAGTGTCTTGGTCTTCTGGGGGTTCAATGAGACCCTTGAATTCAACATTAACATGGATCTCAATTCCTAATAGAAGTGCGACTTTGAGCAGGATAAGCTGCAGCTGACGAATACCTGGAACAAAATGAAAAATGTAACATGATATTTATGTCCGTTTCGTCTTTTTTTTCCTCTGTTGGAACTATTTCGACTCACTGATATGATCGATAGCACCGGCACAGAACTTCCCATAAAACTTCTTGGCGCCGAGGCCCCTGAGGTCCTGGATTGTAAAAGGCCAGAGGTGAAGCACATTGTTTCTGGAGAAAGCATCTCTCTTCTCCAGCAGCACCACTTTGGCCCCCAGAAAGCCCAGCTCGATGGCTGTTCGTAAACCACATGGTCCTGCCCCGATTATGAGACACTGCACACAAGGTCAAGTTAAAAATGCAGTAACAGACGTCATGATACGATTTATCAGATCAAATACAACATAATTAGAACTCTGCACTAACAGAGTGGCCCTTTCATAAAGGAACCACATTAATTACATGAGCTAGAAGACTTTGAATATAATGTTTTAAACATGATCTCAGATGACTTCTGATGAGTAAGCAGTACCTTGGAGTTGGCACATGCTCGGCCCTTCTTGTACTCCTTCTGACACGCCCTCTTGTCCAATTTAGCCCAAAGAGCTTTGGCCTTCCAGTAGTTGAGTTTGGATTTCAACTTGTGATAGAAGATCCTAGACTCTCGGGGCTTGACGTCCAGATGGTCACAGAGCTCCTGGAAGGCTTTGAGCGTGCCCTTGAAGGTGCTTGCCTGGACAAAGTTGTCGAAGAGCACATGGGAATAGTTTACGCCGTCACCTCCAACAGCAGCAGCGCCTCCATCCCCCATGGTCTGGACTCAGAGCGGGGTGTAAGGGCCCGCCAGCCCCGAGGGTCTGTGGGTCCAGCCCCAAACCAGGAAGAACCTCTGTCCGTTAAAAGGAGGGCTTTACCTCCCTGCCTCCGACAGCCTCATTCTGGAAGACAAAGAAAAAACAAGTCAGACACTTTGGTATATTCAGTATTCCCGCCTTAGACCTTTTCCAAACTGGAAAAGAAAACAGTAGTAGTAACCAACATTAGTGTGCAGAGTACACCTCCAGGCACAGCCCTGTCAGATGTGTTTGCAGGATTTGTGCCAGAGTTTTTGGACAGAGTCCGACAGACGCATGTGGCTGAGTGTTTAATCTTTTACTAGTCAAGCAAGACAAATCTAAATAGAATCCAGATCACAATTTAAACAATTATAAACTGTACCACTCTTATTCTTAAACTGGTACAATATGCAATTAGAACCATCAAAGGGGACTTCTGTTTAAATGGCCATTAGTTGTTGAGGTTCTCAGTCTAGATTTAGATAGAGAATATTTCAATGGTTTGAAGATGTTTCTGGCATTTACGAGAATGATAATAACAATTAATCTTCAGTAAATAAACAAATCCTGAATTTATCTTTTTCATTAACTTATCCAGATGTTCTTCTTTGGACTTCAAGCTTTAAAGAAAACCTGAGTCTCCCAAGTGACATGAACAGCAAATGTAAAGTTCAATGTCAGTAATATGGATTAGATATTTTGCCAACATCAGCTCAACAGTTTTAGACAAACAAAAATGGATTCTTGTCTCCATGCCCTGGGTCAAAGTTTAAGATGTGAGCCACGGGAAAGACCGCATCCAAATACAACAAACATGTTCTCTGCTTGAACTTTCACAAGACTGTCTGCTAAACACATCAATAGTGAATAAAACGTGAATCTAAAACACAGACGTTTCAGACATTACGGTGAGAATTCAACGCAACCTTTGGACCACAATCAGTTCATCCATCCATCCATCCATCCATTTTCTTCCCCTTAATCCATTTCTGGGTCGGGGGGGGTGGCCAGAGATGCTACCCAGTTCACAGAGCATCAGCCCCTCACTGATCCTCCTGCAGGTGGTGAGTCCACAGGAGCTGAGATCTTTCAGCGGGAGCTTCAGGCAAAGTGGGGTTAAGTGTCTTGCCCAAGGACACAACGACAGCAGTCATCAGTGCGAGTCGTGAAGTAGGTCTTATGGTGGGCTTGAACCCACGACCTTCAAGCTCAAAGGCCAATGCTCTACAACTGAGCTACTGTCGCCCCCCACAATCAGTTCAGTTTAACACAAATACAAAAGCATGTAACCTTCATACATAATTAGTGACATTGGATTTTTGTAAAATGACGCCCTTGAAGCAACATTTAGCATCTATATGGGGCCCAAGACCTACAGCCACAAACCATTTGTTTATTCAGAGTGAGGCTGCTGTTCCACAGATAAACACGCAGCATTACATCATTCTCTAATCTGAAATAAGGGCTCAGATTAGGCCAGTAGGTTACGCTGCTTCAGCATGACCAGCGTTTTTACACATCTCATTCTGAAGTAATCCTCAAGATTTATAAAGCATATTTCATAAACACACAGTTCCCAAAGTGCAGCACAATAAAAGACTAAACCATAACTAAAAACAAATCCATAGTAAGGCAGAAGAATCAAATAGGATGACTCCGAAAATGTGTGAGATATATATATATATATATATATATATATATATATATATATATATAACACAATGTAACAATGAAACAAAATAAAATAAAAGGACCATGCCACTCATGCAGTGTTAAAAGCCAGAGCATAAAGATTTGTCTTAAAAGGGGATTTAAAACGCGTCACAGAAAGTGCAGTTTGAAACAATGGGAGAAGAGCTGTTAAAACTGTCCAATAGAGATGCACCGATCCAGCTTTTTTACTACCGATACCGATTCCAGAGCTATGGGTTTCTGCCGATACCGATATTGACCGATACCGGAAATGATCATGCTAAAATGTATTTAATAATGTAACCCTTTGTTCAAGTAACTGCAAAAGCAGTGGATGAACTAAAGCTAAACTTTCCAGATAAAAATGGATTCAACATAAATGTGCAACACTGCGACTATAAAGAGCTGCTCAATGTTCACATTAAACATTCAACACTGTATTATTCCTTATACATTTACTGAAGATAAATGTACTTATATTAACTGTGTTTGAATAAAAAAACACAACAAACAAAACACGCTGCATGAAAATGTAAATAAATAATAGTACCGTAGCTTTAAGTGGATTTCAGATATGTATTTGGCGACGGCATGGACCTGGGTTCCAAATGGTCTATGGGGCTGCGAGCCCATGATGAACTCCAACACTTTGGGGTTGTTGCTGAAAAGCTTTTTGTGACGCTGCGTCAGTGTCATCTGTGTCTCGTTGTTTTCACGTCATCTCCTTTCGATGCAGAAACTCCCCGTGCTGTTTCTCGTGCTGCTTAGTCGTGTTGTATTTCTCTGGTTTACCGCCGCGAGAACAACGCTCTTTCCTGCTCCACGCTGTGTTGTTGTTGTTGTAGAGCGCCACGAGGAAGTGTCACATCTGATACATTACTTTGAATTCATTCATTTTATACGTATATGTACATTATGCACAATGTATTTTAACACATTGTGCGGTACCTGGTATGTATTAAAAAATATATATAATAAAAATAAAAATTAAAATAAAATGGACTGGTAGCACGGCGCCTCTTTCTACGCAGATATCCGATCCAGTATTTTTTCTGGTATCGGCGCCGATATCGATACCAGTATCGGATCGGTGCATCCCTAGTGTCCAAAATATCAAGTAAACTTCAGAACATAGAGAAAAACTAAAATCAAATCAGATTGACCTGAACCGGAACAGCAGCTTTAGTCTTCGGTGTTGATTGTGGGATTAAAGGAAGAAATAGTCCTCTGACCATTTGTATGTAATATTTTCACAGCTTTCCACCCTTGCTCTGCTCGTCTTGAAGCGTGTTGTAGAAACTGCTGAGCAAACACTAGAGCAGATTGATGCAGCACTCTGGGTGATGAGTGTGCACTTACTGTGAGAGACACAGGTTCCACAGGCAGAACCAGACACAGGTTCCACAGGCAGAACCAGACACAGGTTCCACAGGCAGAACCAGACACAGGTTCCACAGGCAGAACCAGACACAGGGGACACAGGCAGAACCAGACACAGGGGACACAGGCAGAACCAGACACAGGTTCCACAGGCAGAACCAGACACAGGTTCCACAGGCAGAACCAGACACAGGGGACACAGGCAGAACCAGACACAGGTTCCACAGGCAGAACCAGACACAGGTTCCACAGGCAGAACCAGACACAGGTTCCACAGGCAGAACCAGACACAGGGGACACAGGCAGAACCAGACACAGGTTCCACAGGCAGAACCAGACACAGGGGACACAGGCAGAACCAGACACAGGGGACACAGGCAGAACCAGACACAGGTTCCACAGGCAGAACCAGACACAGGTTCCACAGGCAGAACCAGACACAGGGGACACAGGCAGAACCAGACACAGGTTCCACAGGCAGAACCAGACACAGGTTCCACAGGCAGAACCAGACACAGGGGACACAGGCAGAACCAGACACAGGTTCCACAGGCAGAACCAGACACAGGTTCCACAGGCAGAACCAGACACAGGGGACACAGGCAGAACCAGACACAGGGGACACAGGCAGAACCAGACACAGGGGACACAGGCAGAACCAGACACAGGGGACACAGGCAGAACCAGACACAGGGGACACAGGCAGAACCAGACACAGGTTCCACAGGCAGAACCAGACACAGGGGACACAGGCAGAACCAGACACAGGGGACACAGGCAGAACCAGACACAGGGGACGCAGGCAGAACCAGACACAGGTTCCACAGGCAGAACCAGACACAGGTTCCACAGGCAGAACCAGACACAAGGGACACAGGCAGAACCAGACACAGGGGACGCAGGCAGAACCAGACACAGGTTCCACAGGCAGAACCAGACACAGGGGACGCAGCATGGAGTCAATGCAGGGAATACCCACACACAATATTAACTGTAGTTAAACTGGCTAAAATAACCAGACCTTTTGTCTTGTAGGATAAAAATGTTCCCAACACAATTAGAATAAACGTGCATTAATATTGGTCTTTGATTTTGTTTAAGTACCGGGTTTTGATTTTTCTATTTCAAATTGTTTAATTTTTTTACATTACTAATTAGGGATGTAAATCGGCGACCGGTTAACCGGTGGTTGACCGTCACAGCGTTAACCGGTCAAAGCTGTCGGTTAAAAAAGAGAAAAAGGGGGAGAGGGGAGGTCTCTTAATAACGCTATTTTAAGCCCTATTTGCACGGTGTGACGAGCGGGTCTGTATAGCTGTGTGCGCCAATGCATTATAAACTCCGGGACGACTCTCACGCCGCACAAGCCACATATGCACACACACACACACACACACACACTTTCCCCCTCTCCATACGTAACATCCACACGCATCATCTCTCCCCTCTGTTACCGTCAAAGTTGCACAGTGGCGCGGGTCAGAACTACATTGGAGCTTACATTTACACACACACACACACACATACACACACACACACACACATATACATACACACACACACACACACATACATACACACACACATACCGGTCTGTCGCGCTCCTCTGTCACGGAGCCCAAAGGATTCGCGCAAACACACGGCTCCAGTCAAACCACATGGACCATGTTTGTGTTTATGGTCCTCGGGATCAGCTCCACACACATCACTTGTATTTAAACTTTTGTGAAGACCTGTGAGACGCGTCACTCGCTGCTCTGACCATGTGAACGAGCCGTGTTTGCTGCTAGAAAGTTTTGGTATTAACCCGCAGCACAGCAGAATGGGAAGATTAAAAAGCAGTTCTCTGTGCGCAAAGGTGCCGGAGCTGTTGCGGGTTTGGGCGCCGCTGTCTCGGCTCTGATCCAGTAGAACGCAGAGCTGCACTTATGAAAAGTACGCGGCTCGAAATGGCTGTTATTTCAAAGAACGTGGACTATTTTAAACTACGCGGTTAACCGGTTTCAACCGGTTAATGAGGCTCGGTGGTCGGTCATGAAAATTCATAGTTTTTTACATCCCTATTACTAATATAAATAACAATGTCTTTGTCATTTGGGATGAACCAATAAGATACTAGCATCGGATATTTGTGCTGATATTTGAAATTGTGTTGGATCTGGGAATCTACTTTATGACGATATCTGATGTAACAAATGTTGTTTTAAGGTAGATATTAGCCCAGAATGTCATATACAGTAGGTGTAACTGTTACTTAGACACTGTTTCTGTTATTACTCAAAGGACCAACAGCAAGTTTAAAACATAGTTGGATTCAGTTGTAAATAGTGGGGATTTGAGGGTAGAATAATCACCTGTCCCTTCACTGGTTTCTTATAAAGTACCTGTAGATACAGAGGAGGGGTCGGTCACTTTGGTTAAGGCGTGAAAAAGGATTGAATTGAAGATCAAAATCACTCTTCAATCTTTCCCATACATCACCAAGCTCTATCCACAGCCCACAGTGCACATCAGCACTAAGCTCAAAGACAGATCATATGTTCTGAACCCGTTTACAGCTACACTTTTACAGCTCATTTCCATCTGCAGTACACAAAGTACACAAACTACTTTGGCCAAAACCAACCTGCTACTGTCTGCTCACGACCCATCTGGCTTTGGAATCACTTTTACTTCCAACAGCCAGAATGCAAAGTGCAGCTGGCCCCTTTCTCTTCAGAGCTTTTAGGTGGAACTGATGAGAAACTGCGGATACACTAAATAATGCATATCTTTTTAATGCGACAACTTAATTGATTATGATGAGTACTTGATACATTAGTGTATGATGGATTACCAATAGGAGTGAAATGTCAACTCTTGTATGAATTATGGTAAAAACTGAATGAAAATAGCCTCATAACAAGAGTTGGTGTCAGAATTGGTAAACCCAGAGCAGGCATAATGAACCAATGTTAGTGAGGATACAAAACAAAACAATACAATATACAGACTTGAAATATTTCACTCTATGTACGATAATTATTATAAAAAAAATCATAATACTGTATATGACTTTCACTTTTTATAATTATTCACACACATTGTTAATAATAGTAAATTATTTCTGTACTGAAAAATAAATGCCTTTAGAATGGTCTAATCAATATGCACTGATACGTTTTGTTTCCATGTAACCAACAAAAACACACATTCTTCTACACGGGTCAAATTACAAACTGCTGGAATCCTGTTCAGATTCACACATTTGACTACAGTGTCATTTGATTTGCATGATGTTTCAACCCAGTGAGCCGAGCCTTATCACGTTACTCTCATGGACCTGTATCCGAGGAAGTAGGAAGTGTAAGGCGAGAGCAGACGCCAATCCAGTCAAAGCACACGGTCAAGGCTCACGGCGAGGAAGCCCGGAGAACCATGAACGAAACAACACTGGTCTTAAAACAATGGTAATCAATTCCTTCATTTTTCATCCCCTTTATCAGTCCATTTCTGGGTCGGGGAGGGGTTGGCTCAATCAACAAAGACACAGCCTTGGCAAAGTGGGGTAAAGTGTCTTGCCCAAGAACACAACGACAGCAGACATCAGTGGGAGCAGAGGACATGGGTCGTTAGGTTCACAGACAAATGCTCAACCAACTGAGCCACTGTCGCCCCCGAGTTCGGACTTCAGTGCATTTTTGTATGGCCCTAAATCACAACAGCAGTCATCTCGGAAGATCTTACAAAGTTGTCAATTCACCAACAATTGATCAGAGAATCAAACAGTTCGAAGACAGGAAATGTAATACAGTAATAACAAACACATAGAGGCACTGGGCCATAGGGAGAGGGATGACCGCTGTCCACAGCTGTCCACAGCTGTCCACAGCTGTCCACAAATGTCCACAAATGTCCATAAATATCCTGGATCATCACTGCCCTTAGACCCTTCTGCATCAGCAAGGAACGACTTTCACACAGCAGAATAAAAAGCACAGATGAAGTAAGACATTAAATAAATTAGATTCACAAACGTGTCATTTCACACCAGACAGTCAACAAACTCTAATCTGAGTGTGAGCAAAGGCCAGGTCCACGACGGTCCAGATGGAAAACACAAGTTATACGAACGGTCTCTCATGGTCCATTACATATCCATAGAACCGTAGTATTCCAAAATCATACAAACATTTGAACATGTGAGAATTGTCAGGCCAAGTGAGGACTACGGGTGACACCAAATAATTATTAAAATAGCATTTGTAATCTTGACGCCACAACATTACCTATAGAAAGTGCTAAACTAACTGCTAACAGTAGAATATTAATCTCAACAAAAACTGGGAAAACAAGCTGAGAATAGTGAGAATAAGTTAAATTCCTAAAATACTTACAAATCAGAAGCATAAAACTATAGCACCAAAAAGTATCCGTTAAAACGTTAGCTGACCGGTAAAGTGACAGCTATCATCATGGTCAGCAGCATTAGGATATGGACAATACAACACACCACTATTGGCAGATAAAGAGACCCCGTGAATTGTCGATGGATTCATTGTCATAACTTGCAATACAACCATAGACTGTCTATAGATGGAAAAAACTATCCTCCTCGCTCAATAAAGCCCAATGGGGAAGTGCTCCTGGACAAAGTTTTGCTCCAACTCGCTCTAGTTCCAATGGACTCACACTGAATAGAAAACTCTCTCTATGATCCTGTGTTCACATTTTGACAGTTTTTCTGCAAATCCAGATAGGAGCCCTATAAGGATTGACCAATCAGATGCTTTCATTTGCTGGGGAAACTCCAGGAGGCCTTAGCAAACATCTTAGCAACACCCGAAAGCCAACACAGTCAGAACAAACGCATCACAAATGGAAACTGGCTGAAGCTTATTCTCAAAGTGGTGTGACTCCCAACATATGGTTTATGACGAGACTGATAACAAAGGGACAGTACAGTACTATTATGGCTCCAAATGCAAATATATGAGTATGACCAAACAAAAAGCTGAATGGATACTTTGTTCTTTTTCCAAGTAGGTCGAATGTGGGAGACAAAGTTCACATTTCTCTAGAGCTTTCTCTGTCAGGAAATATTTCATGCACAAATAGAGATAAGCAGCCAACTTGTACCCCACAGATTTATTGCCTCACAATAGAAACTTCAACACTCAGAAGTAAACAATGATTCAAGACATGGCTGACGACTTATATCTTTGCATAGACACAGACCATAGTTCTAGTGTTGAACGGTCAGCAGACTGGCACAGTGTAAACAGCTGCACCGGTGTAGACTGTGGAATGTACTTGCCACACTGACCTACTTTTTAAAATAACTTATCTTTAAACAAAACTGCTCCTTAATCTTGGACGGGGAACATTCAAAGGGAAATCACATTAGAAGTCATGTGGAAAATCTTCAAATATAAAACTGTGAGTCATGGACTAAATGGTGGTTAACCTAAAACCATGTAAGTCTAGCTCTGGACAGGAGTATTATTAAGTTGTCACAAAGTCCTGCTAAGTGATGAAACTAACCAGGGGCCACAGAGCAAATCACCAGAACACAATACATCACAGCCCAATGCAGTCAGAAGCAAGTGCTGCTCAAGGGTCTGTACCCGGATCAGGGCCCTCTCCCACTGGGACATTCCGGACACCTCTGAGGGGCACAGTCCGACAGGAGAAGACCGGGGGAACAGGACAGGGGCAGCAGCTATCAGTTATTTCTGTGATAATAGAGTATTCTATTGATTATTACCTTTGTAATCTGTCATTTGCTGCATTTTTACACCCTTAAATGCAAGTCATAGTCATAACTATAAAAACACCATACAAATATGAATAAAATATCAAATTAAAACACACACACACACACACACCCACGCACACACACACACACAGTGGGGACACCCCACAGACAGTCTCTCCTCTCCTGCAGGTGGCGCTGTGATGAGTCAGGCCCAGGCCTCAGGGAGGCCTCCAGCTGCTCCTGACACAGCAGGACTATAGTGGATTTACTCTGTTCTGTCATGTTTTCCAAACCCACAGGGTTTTGAAAGACCCCAGGCATCCATACGGCAAGGAACTTATGAAAAAAGGATAGAGAGAAAAGATTCTTGTAAAATAAGTTGTTAAGTAACAAAAGCCTTGAACCCCAGCTCGAAGGAGTGTTTATTACTTTACTTTATTGTTTTGGTTTCTGCAAACTGAAGGGCAGCTGGAGGAAGCAGTGTTTTGACCAAAATATGGTTTATTATTAGTTAGTAAGTAAGTAATGTTTATTTGTATACTGCCTTTCTCAGATCTGAGTCTCAAAGCGGTTTACAATTGTTATTTTTGGGCACTTGTCCTCTCACTCCACACAGAGATGGGAGGGGCCAGTACAGGAGGCACATGCCAGAACTATTGGACATATTTTTAGTGGTAGGGGAAACCGGAGTACCCGGAGGAAACCTACGCAGACACGGGGAGAACATGCAAACTCCACTCAGAAAGGCCCCATTTCGACCAGGATTCGAACCCAGGACCTTCTTGCTGAAAAGCGAGAGTGCTAACCACTCAGCCACCGTGCCGCCCAGTGTGACATAACTGGGGATGTCACAAAATGTTGCTTATTCTGCGTTCATACCGATAATTTGAGATTTTAGTTTGCACCGACCCTTTTTACCAAACTTTAGTGTTAATTAAACAGTAATATGGAGTTCTTTTAAAGTACTAATTTCTTGTTCTGATAAGACACAGAGAATGCAGCTCTGGTTTTGGCCACATGTGAACGCGACATTAACACAACAGAAACTTGAACAATTAATTGAGTGAGTACAATATTTTTGAACTACTTTTTGGTCTCTGTCCTGAAGAACCATATCGTCGACCTCTAGAGGCTATACTGATATATAAGAAATGATGAGTAAAGATTAGTTTTAAAGTTTTTTTTTGCAGATTACTTTACTCTAAGAAGACATAATAATAGATCAATAGCTGCAGCCGTAACTATAGGACTGTAAACTTCACTGTCCAAACAGATGATGTCATTGGCATGCCTGAACAGCTCACACAGCGTCATGTAATAAACCATTTGGTTGGATAATACCTCTCAGGTTACAATGATGTGGTGGTAATTCAACTTTCCCATACACTCAAAGACTTTTCAAAAAATACATGAATGGAGTTTATTCCAGATAGAATGACCTCTGTCAAACTACTCAGGTCCCAAACAAACATCCTTCCACTGCTGCTTCACATCCTGACATTCCAACAGGGAAAGTTGGAAGTCATCAGCCACTCAGAGTCAAGACACAAGCTTAGAACATTCATTTAGCGTTCGCAACAATGTGCACTGACGATGACTAGGATACTAATAAAAACACCCCTCCATTTAAGTACGTTTTCAAACTATAAAATCAGAAAAAGAGTCATTTAACTTGTAGAGAAGGTAATGTGGCACAGAGAGAAAGGTCAATATCTCTGATCAATACAGATAATGCCCATCACTGTGGAGAGACAGCAGGATTTGTAATGAAGAAATGCCTGTCAGGATGGAGCACAACTCTCCATCTGATGAATGTCAGAACTGATCAGTGTTGACACATGGACCAATGTGAGCAACAAACACAGACTATGGCAACAACACACACCAATACACCTTTATCAATCTCAGCTTTCTGTCCTGTTGAGCTGAGGCTGAAGTGACCACAGTATTATCTCATATTCTTCATATAAAACACACACACTATAACAACCCAGAATCCAAAACAAACCAAGCACATCTGTGCAAGCAAGCCCTGGTCCAAAAAGGGGAGAGGGGTTTCTCCAAGTTTCAGACACAAATTAGAAGAGAAGTTACAGATGTTGTTATTATCATCAGTAACATGAATACATAACTTTGCCTGTTTGAAGCTATGGGACAGCACTGTTAATACTCCTGCTATTTATTTGTATTGTCTGATCACTCCAATGAAGAAGTCTGAATAACCTTAACGTTACTGTCCTGAAGGTGACCGAATGGAAACGTGATTCTAAAGCACAGTGACATAAATGTGCAGTGCAGGGCTCCATTCTCCTGCACTTTAACAAGCTTACAGCCAGTCTACAAACAGGGACTTGGCAAAACACCAGGATGCACCACCACAGACCGCGGAGTGCAGATCGATCAGAAGTGAACCCAGCAGAGCATGTGGTTCCTCCTGCTCCGACACCGAGCTGCAGCCACGGGTTCCTCCTGCTCCGACACCGAGCTGCAGCCACGGGTTCCTCCTGCTCCGACACCGAGCTGCAGCCACGGGTTCCTCCTGCTCCGACACCGAGCTGCAGCCACGGGTTCCTCCTGCTCCGACACCGAGCTGCAGCCACGGGTTCCTCCTGCTCCGACACCGAGCTGCAGCCACGGGTTCCTCCTGCTCCGACACCGAGCTGCAGCCACGGGTTCCTCCTGCTCCGACACCGAGCTGCAGCCACGGGTTCCTCCTGCTCCGACACCGAGCTGCAGCCACGGGTTCCTCCTGCTCCGACACCGAGCTGCAGCCACGGGTTCCTCCTGCTCCGACACCGAGCTGCAGCCACGGGTTCCTCCTGCTCCGACACCGAGCTGCAGCCACGGGTTCCTCCTGCTCCGACACCGAGCTGCAGCCACGGGTTCCTCCTGCTCCGACACCGAGCTGCAGCCACGGGTTCCTCCTGCTCCGACACCGAGCTGCAGCCACGGGTTCCTCCTGCTCCGACACCGAGCTGCAGCCACGGGTTCCTCCTGCTCCGACACCGAGCTGCAGCCACGGGTTCCTCCTGCTCCGACACCGAGCTGCAGCCACGGGTTCCTCCTGCTCCGACACCGAGCTGCAGCCACGGGTTTCTGAACAATGTTAAAATGCACCGTGTTTGTTAAAGGACAAAGCACTTTACCTTCCACTCCCGCGTCTTTACGACACATCCATGAACCGTGACGAATAATCCATGGCAGGTAATAAACCAGATGTTCAAGTCAAATCCACAGAATCCACTGGGAATGAACAGATAATCGGCACAGAGCAGAGATCCAGAGATCCAGAGAGACCAGAGAGACCAGCGGAGAAGGCGCAACTTGAAACTGACAGAGGGGTCGGACCAAACCACTGGACGAAGAAGGAGGGGTGTCCCAGAAACTTTCGTAACGAGCAAAAATCACTCATGAGAAGGTTCTTCTAACTCATCATCCTAAAATCATTCTTTTTTGAATAAACACAACGAAAACAAACTAATTTGTGTAAAAGGAGCAGTAGTTGTCGTGTAACTGCAGAGTATTGCGCGGATGCTCCCCCACAGAGACTTGGTGTGAGCCTGTATGTTTTAACTCACTTTAATCCGATTGGTCTTTTCCAACGTGACGCAGCAGCTGCTGCCTTCACATGATGCTGTGGGAACCTCAGCACTGGGACAGTACTACACTGTACTACACTGTACTACACTGTACTACACTGTCCTACACTGTACTACACTGTACTACACTGTACTGACCGTGTCATGTGCTATGTACTGACTATAATGTACAGATAATGTATAACATGTGTACAGCCTATTACTTCAAAACAGCATCCTTTGTACCTTAACATTACAATATCTTCAGGTTCACAACATTGTTTAGGCATATTATAATATCACTGATGTTAAATAGTGCAGTAGACCAAGGCATCAGTGTGGGACTAGAAGCAGCCACCCCAATCTGCCTTGGACTGGCACATTGGGGTGGTGGTCTCACTCTTGGACTGGCACATTGGGTGGTGGTCTCACTCTTGGACTGGCACATTGGGGTGGTGGTCTCACTCTTGGACTGGCACATTGGAGTGGTGGTCTCACTCTTGGACTGGCACATTGGAGTGGTGGTCTCACTCTTGGACTGGCACATTGGAGTGGTGGTCTCACTCTTGGACTGGCACATTGGAGTGGTGGTCTCACTCTTGGACTGGCACATTGGGGTGGTGGTCTCACTCTTGGACTGGCACATTGGAGTGGTGGTCTCACTCTTGGACTGGCACATTGGAGTGGTGGTCTCACTCTTGGACTGGCACATTGGAGTGGTGGTCTCACTCTTGGACTGGCACATTGGAGTGGTGGTCTCACTCTTGGACTGGCACATTGGAGTGGTGGTCTCACTCTTGGACTGGCACATTGGAGTGGTGGTCTCACTCTTGGACTGGCACATTGGGGTGGTGGTCTCACTCTTGGACTGGCACATTGGAGTGGTGGTCTCACTCTTGGACTGGCACATTGGGGTGGTGGTCTCACTCTTGGACTGGCACATTGGGGTGGTGGTCTCACTCTTGGACTGGCACATTGGGGTGGTGGTCTCACTCTTGGACTGGCACATTGGGGTGGTGGTCTCACTCTTGGACTGGAGGTGTGTTTTGATCCTCATGGGTAAAGTATATTCCAAGGAACTGGACAGACTTTGATTCAGGAGGAGAACACTGAGGCTTTGCTGAGAGCTGCAGAATGTTGTCAGACCTATTCCCTGTTCATGTTGGCCCCTGCCAAGGCAGCCCTTTGTCACTCTGCAAGAGGAGCCAGAAGAGGCTCTGGCATCTGTTTGGGATGCCTCCTGGGCAGGCATGTCCCGCTGGGAGGAGGCCCCAGGGAAGACCCAGGACACGCTGAACGGACAATGTCTCTGCTGGCCAGGCAACATCTCGGGACTCCCAGAACAAACTGGAGCGAGAGTTTGAGGAAGTTTCTGCATTATATGTATTTTAGAACCAGAAATCAGAATTTAAGTCTAGAGAGTCTGTGTTTTAAAAGAGTCCAATAATGACTGAGGACTCGAGAAGTGACGTGTTCGTGTCCGAAAGACAGAGGAGTCTGACTCAGAGCATCTAGACATGTTCACAGATAATTCTCTTAGCTAGACAATAAGCAAGTCCAAGACGTAACACTTTCTTCTAATGTTTTTCTGACACGCATGACACAGAGACTATAGCTGAATTAATGTCCTTTAAATGTATACAGAAATAAGCTTGTTTGATCCAAAACCAGACACTTTATTGTAATACATAACTTCAAATTAGAATAAAAAGATGGCACAAGACCATTATGTCTAAACCAGATGCCCTAGTTCCCGTTTGCTAATTAATCAAACCACATGGGGACAAGGAACATATCATTACCATCTAGAAGTGAGCAAAAAAAGGCAGATGAAGAAAAACACAGACAAACTCATGGAGAGGACGCACACACGAGGTAATGACTGATGTAGAATTGCTTCCTCTTACTGCGTCCAAACTCCGCAAAATGCAGCAGACACACTTATGGCACATTATGGAACCTACCCTAATTACCCGGTGCACCTTGGTCCCACCCACGCCTCTCTCTAGAGCCCAGAGACCTGTCATAGACCGCTCATTGACTGTCAATAGTCGTTAAGCTAAACACCAAACAAAGGAATATGTACCCAAGGTGAGGCATGCTGCACATTCCCTACATAACAAAGGACATTTAACGCATGAGGTCATCACTGAAGTCTTCAAAAGCTCATTTGACAGATCACATCACGCAACAGCATCAGCAAAGCCAGCCATCTTCAATGTATAGACTTCCACAGTGAGAGCCAAAACAATGGAATGTACTTACTGTACAAATGGCCGGTGAGCTGAACATCCAACAGAAAGTCCACGGCCAAGGATTTGTTGTCTTTCTAATATTTCCTCATCTGTCCTCGCCGCCTCCACTCGCCCTCCCCTTTTCCACCTCCCCTTCTTCTCTGCCTCTCAGCACGCCAAGATGCTGCCTGGACCAGTGCTCGTCGTCATGGTAACCGGGACCAAAAAAAGGGGGGGATACGGGCACGTGACGGGCTTTCACTGGTTTCCGATTGGAAGGCGGAGGGGATCGCAGGAGCTGGTTAAGGGAGGGGCAGCCAGGCGGTGATGTCACATGTTTCTTCACAGACGGGAGGGGGTTTGGGGGGTGGGGGGCTGCCTGCAAACATAGCATAAACACAGTAGACGTCCTTTTAAGGTGGGTTGACACCAGAGGGAAGTGGAGAGATTGCACAAGGCTCGGGCTACTTGACTGATTGGTGTGTTGTGTTGATGATTGACACGGACTGAAGCAGACTGAAGCAGACTGAAGCAGACTGAAGCAGACTGAAGCGGACTGAAGCGGACTGAAGCGGACTGAAGCGGACTGAAGCGGACTGAAGCGGACTGAAGCGGACGGAGCGATGTGGCGCAGCTGTCACTCTGCCAAAATGTGCTCCACCACTTCAGACTGCCACCGGCTACATTATATACAACAATAACACAAGTGTCCCGGGACATGGGCGTGGGGGGCATCCATATGGAGAGACTTGACCCACTGAACCACAACTGCTACTTATAAGACACTTGACATCAGAGACATCAGAAGAGCTGTGGCAAATGCTAAATGTTCATAGAGAGATACAAAACAGGCCAAATGTGAAGAAAAACATAAATAAATCAAATCAGCTAATGCAAATAATATGTATCTTTTTGGCATCCATCGTTTTACATTTTTACTATGATCCGTTTGGGTCACTGTTCAAAAATAGGTCAGTAAAAATGTATTGTAAATAATTTTAAATGCTCGGTGGTTGAATGTAATCGGTGACCCACAGAAAACACTTTTCTCTTGTTTATTTGTTGCCATGAGCAACACAGGTCTGGGTTTGGGCTCATGCAACATTTTGATCAAATTGTACTGTTCAAATCAACATTTTGTATCTGAGGAGTTTTATTATTCCAACAAAACATTATTATTGTGTATATACAGTGGACCAGGGCCAGGGCCAGGACCAGGGCCAAGACCAGGGTCTGGACCAGGACCAGCTGAGACCACAAAGACTGCACTTTGGAGTTTAATTGGGCCAATAGAATCATTTATTATAACAAATCAAACTGCTAATGACCCCGGCACATTCATGTATTCATGCGGGCGGCGCTCTCTGCATAATTTAGCAGTGAATGGAGTCTGGCCTTTACTGTGTCGACGAGGATGATGATGGTAATGGATGATGTCATGAAGTCCAAGGTCCCATCAGGAGCCGGAGTCACGGGCCAGTGGGTTTTATCGTGGCGTCCTGGAGCTACACCATTAGAGGCTGTTTCTTATCAATTACATAATCACACAACCCAATGTTTACACCGTTTTAATTGCTTGATTGTCTCGTCAAAATCTACTATTTGTGATGTCCTTGGATGGAGGGCTGTTGTGATTTTGGACTGCAGAAAAAAATACATTGAAAGCCTTTGGACAAATACCCCTCCTGAAAATACATTAAATTATTAGTCAAAACTTTCTGAAAGTGAGATTGAGAAGTGAGAGTGTTTAGTGTAAAAATAATATCAAGAATTATTCCCAATGTACAATTATTAAAATAGAAATATGTAATATTACGACTTAGGGATGGGTAATGTTGAACTGTTGAAAATAAAAAAATGCCACTACTGGTACCGGGAAAAAATAGAACCGCAAACGATTCCTGAAAAACAGACTTTGTAAACACAGAAATAAAGAGAAAGTTACTGAAAAGTACTTCAGCAGTTTTGCCTCATAAACAATAAAAACTACAGCTTCATACTGATTTTTAAAAGCTTAATTTGACCCATTCAAAGAGGTTCCTAAAGGCTTAAAGGAGGAGTCCAAAACTATTCTAATAAATTATTATTATTGTTTGTCCCAACAGTAAATTCTGGATTATAAACCGCACTTTGAACGCTGCGGCTTATAATGAGGTGCGGCTTATAGTCCGGGAAGTACAGTAAATGTTCTTTTACGTACTGGTTGTGATTGAATTTAAAGTAGTAGAAAATGAATCCAAACTCATGTCAAATAAAATGAATGTCAAAAATACAAAAATATGTAAAAGGAAATAATGTTAATATAAAAGAAAACCACTTTTATACTTTTGGCCCCAACCAGCTCTTATGTTTTTGAACTTGGCCCCCGACCAAAATGAGACACCCCTGATCTGTAGAAATATGTTTTTTGTGGATTTAGCTAAAAAACATAATTCATTATTGGCTCCGCTGCTGAAATCCAAGCGTTTCCAAAAGCAGGAACTGCAGACGGACGAGCAGCGAATGAGATTGCAGCGTTTTTGTAAAGAAACTACCTCCATTCCAAAGCCACAAACTCACAACAGAGACCAGCGTTAGTCTTAACAAAGGCTGAAGTACAATGCCTTCCCAGAATCCCGCTGTATTTTGAGCCCGTGTCCGACTGAAACTTGAACTTTTAATTTCCTCTGCAACCACGCAGACAAGCCGTGGACAAACACGGCCTAAATCAGCCTCATTCCACTGCCCTAAAGCATCATGGGATATACAGGAGTGAGTAAATAAAAGCTCCAACTTTAGGTAACAAAAGTTTAAAGCTGTGAGTTTACTGGAGGTGTCTGTGTCTAAATGTAAGTGCAGCAATCGGGGTGTGTGAGCTGCAGGCCGTTTACTGCTGTGGAGAAACACAGAGTGGAACTGTTCTGCAGTGCCCTGATCTCCTGAGCCTAAACTCTGTTATGTGTACGTTAGAATTAAATCTAAATGTTTTTGTTTTGCCCTGTTCTTTATTGAACTTTTTAGGCTCCAAGGTAGATACATTTCTAATCAGAGCTCGTCTTCAGTCAAATGTTTACTTTTTAATTCTATTTTTCTCTATTTATTATGCAAAAATTTGATATTTTAGACTTACCGGTACTTATTTTTTATGCTAAAGTCAAGATAGGTTAAACTTAGTTCTTGTATTTTAGTATAGAGTTATTGTTCTTTTATCTTGTGCCGTGTGCTCCTCATTCCTACTGTTCTGTAACTGGTGATGCAACACTGACATTTCCCCACTGTGGGATAAATAAAGGATCTTAGTTTTGTCTGTATCACTTCAGATTTCTGACAATTCTCTGGCGCCGTCAGGGCTCATATTTATTTAAGACATTGGTATTCACTCTTCCACTCTATTGGCCGCACAACAGTGTATAACTACTGCACGTTTCCACGTCAGACTCCTTTGAAGAACAGAAATTGTAAGAATAAAACGTATCTGCCAATAAATAAAGTGGAATTTGCAGTAAAACAATAGCTTCTACTATTTAACAAATAAAGCACTTATATATAATGGCTTATCACAGTCATGTTTATTTCTTTAAAGCAGTAAAAACAGACAATAGACAGTAAAGGAGAGTCTGTATAACGCAGCCTGGGGACCTGTTTAACGTCGCTACGCTACATCCTGTGAGCTTTGTGTTAGCTCTCCTAATGCGGCGTGTTGATAGCTATATTTAAATCTAACACGTTTGCCCTCTCACCCTTTAGTGTCCAGGCCAGGGCACAAACCCTCATGAGGGGGCCCTGGAGTGTGTTGCTCAATAGTATTTATAAATGCAGTGTGCAGACGCTGGAGGGGCAGATGGAGCAGATTGGAAGCCACTCCGTCAGTTCATACCTCAGGGCAGCTGTGGCAAGGAGCAAACATTTGATCATTTGAATATGTCGTGATGGATTAATGCAAAGTAAAGTATGATGAGAGTCTGGATAAGTGTCATCGAAACAGTGGAGAGTCCAGAGCATTGTCATAGGGAGACAATGAGGGCTCCAGTGAGGGCTCCAGTAGGTATTAAAGGGGAAAAGATCATCTGAAAAAACACATACCACTTCTGTAATTTCCTCACTGTGGGACTAATAAAAGGCATTTAATAATTTATTAATTTATTTAGTGTTTTATGGAGCCAATGAGATTGCAAAGTATTGTGCAATAAAACATATAACATTTATTATGGATAATAGTTTTCAGTCTAATTTAGACATCGAGAATGATCCAAGGAGAAACAGGGTGTTGGGCTTGACCTGAGAAGCTCCAAACAATCCAAGGATCTATTTGGAGTCAAATACAGACCACAATATCTATATAATGTACATTATTATATATATATATATAATATATATATACACACACACACACACATTACTTTTTGATTTGCTGAAGCACGTCTTTAGTAGTAAAATCTGAGGGTGAGAAACGGTGTAATACTTTTTAATAAGTGTAAAAATGGTGACAGTAACATAAGCTAAAACAATGTGTGTACAGTACAGAGCCGCTCAGCTCCAAGACAGGAAAGACAAACAGGAAGTACAGACTAATGCTCTAATCACATCACTGTCTCCCTGTACCAGGGGGAGAGGAGCCGACAGCATTGAGTGGATTTGCTGAGATTCCTTTTCTCTCACACGACAGACTGAGAACGAGCTCCACTCGAGCACCAGCTGTTACACTTCCATCACTTACACTCTCTAAAATAAAAACCAATAACATTCATTTTGGCGTGTTGTGTGTCTGTGTTCTTCACTTTGATCCAGTTCTCAGAGACCAAATACCCTCAACCTTGAGAAACCCCAGCTGTCCACGCGGAGCAGGCTTAGAACAGAACCGAGTTACCATGGCAACGCAATGTTCTGCCCGAGTCAGCCCAAACAAAAGTGGGCGTAGTGGAGTGGGTCGTGTGGGAGGCAAGAAGGTTCTGGGTTCGAATCCCGGTTGGAACAGGGCCTTTCTGAGTTGAGTTTGCATGTTCTCCCTGTGTCTGCGTAGGTATCCTCCGGGTACTCCGGTTTCCCCTACCACTAAAAACATGTGCAGTAGTTCAGTGTGTTTGTGAGTGCGACTGTGGGACACAGATGGAGATTAACCCAACGCTACAGTCCAGAGTGTTCATGAACATGTGCTGTCTTGACCAAATAAACTATAAATAAATAAAAAATAACTATTCCACAAAGCAAAACAATGACCTGAAATCAAAGCAATTATCAAAATGCAAATGTCTTGTTTTTGCTTTGTCCTGTTCCTTTTAAAACTCCAAAGTAGATTCATTTTTTAACCAGAGCTTGTAACTTCAGTCAAATGTTTGCTTTTAAATATTGTTCTACCTGTTTTTAGAAGTCGTCTATTCCTTATAAAGTTACAGGAAGTTGTGTCTGTTTTCACTGATCGGGCGCCTTAATCATCTGCGGATAAGTCAAAATTCTCAGCAAAACAATAGTTTGCCACTGTTTGACAAAAATATTGTTATTAAAAGCACTTATGACAAACCAGTCATCTGCAACAAAGACTTCCTGAAAAGGGGTGATGTTCTCATATGGATCATTTTGATTCCAAGCCCAATGAGGAAATGACCCGATAACAAAATGCAGACATAATATTATGGCTATGCCTCAGAAACGCTGTGAAAGGTTCTTATAAATGCTGTGGTTGTGAAATAATGTCCGTCTTTAGCACATCAGGTCGATGCAGCTGTAGGATATGGAACAGTCTTCCTGAGGTTGTGAGACAAGCCTCTATCCTGCACATGCAATTCTATTTATTACCATTATTTCTCTTCTTAAACCCATATTTTAATACAAGTTTTAAGCCCAATACTTGTATGCTACTCTGTACTGATATGAAATGTTGTTTTTTGTTTTTGTTATTTTATGCATTTTATCTGGCTTTATACCCAAAGTGTGCCATGCAAATAAATGATTGATTCACCTCAGGCAGTCTGCACAAGGCGACAGTAGCTCAGTTGGTAGAGCATTGGTCTTTGAGCCTGAAGGTCGTGGGTTCGAGCCCACCGTAAAACCTACTTCACGACTCCCACTGATGACTGCTGTAGTTGTGTCCTTGGGCAAGACACTTAACCCCACTTTGCCTGAAGCCCCCGCTGAAAGATCTCAGCTCCTGTGGACTCAGCTCCTGCAGGAGGATCAGTGAGGGGCTGGTGCTCTGTGACTGCCACCCCCGACCCAGAAATGGATTAAGGGGAAGAAAATGGATGGATGGCGTCTGCACTTTTCCTTCAGTCTACTAAAAGTAAACCAGGCCAACCCATGCTCCGCTCTCTGACGATCGAATACAGTTCAAACAGAAACCTTTGGCAGAACAATCGTGTCTTGTTGCTCAAGAAGATTAATCACTGTGATGTCAACAAAAACCCTGCGTTTTAATTGTGGGCCTCTCCCAGGGCCTCTCCCAGGGCCTCTCCCAGGGCCTCTCCCAGGGCCTCTCTCAGGGCCTCTCTCAGGGCCTCTCTCAGGGCCTCTCCTAGGGCCTCTCCTAGGGCCTCTCCTAGGGCCTCTCCCAGGTCCTCTCCCAGGGCCTCTCTTAGGGCCTCTCTTAGGGCCTCTCCCAGGGCCTCTCCCAGGGCCTCTCCCAGGTCCTCTCCCAGGGCCTCTCCCAGGGCCTCTCTTAGGGCCTCTCTTAGGGCCTCTCTTAGGGCCTCTCTCAGGGCCTCTCTTAGGGCCTCTCTTAGGGCCTCTCCTAGGGCCTCTCTTAGGGCCTCTCTTAGGGCCTCTCTTAGGGCCTCTCCTAGGGCCTCTCCTAGGGCCTCTCCTAGGGCCTCTCCTAGGGCCTCTCCCAGGTCCTCTCCCAGGGCCTCTCTTAGGGCCTCTCCCAGGGCCTCTCTTAGGGCCTCTCCCAGGGCCTCTCCTAGGGCCTCTCCCAGGTCCTCTCCCAGGGCCTCTCCCAGGGCCTCTCCCAGGGCCTCTCTTAGGGCCTCTCTTAGGGCCTCTCTCAGGGCCTCTCCTAGGGCCTCTCCTAGGGCCTCTCCCAGGTCCTCTCCCAGGGCCTCTCTTAGGGCCTCTCTTAGGGCCTCTCCTGGGCCTCTCCCAGGGCCTCTCCCAGGGCCTCTCTTAGGGCCTCTCTCAGGGCCTCTCTTAGGGCCTCTCTCAGGGCCTCTCCTAGGGCCTCTCCTAGGGCCTCTCCCAGGTCCTCTCCCAGGGCCTCTCTTAGGGCCTCTCCCAGGGCCTCTCTTAGGGCCTCTCCCAGGGCCTCTCCCAGGGCCTCTCCTAGGGCCTCTCCTAGGGCCTCTCCTAGGGCCTCTCCTAGGTCCTCTCCCAGGGCCCCAGCGTCTGTGTTTGGTGTTCCCTCCTGCGTGAGTCTCAGTGTACACAAGTCTCCTCATTAGAGCGAACACAAAGACCTCTGTGTCATATCTTCACCTCGACCCGACCCACAGCAGCTTGATATGAAAGTCAAAAGGAGACAAAGTTTACATAAAGAGACAAAGTCTGCTTATGTTTTTGGTACACTGCAAAAAGTAATAGCATATGTATAATAGTTGCTTGAATCGAGTGTTTTTTATCTTAATTTGAGTTAATTCTGACAAAACCATTTAGTTTTATTTCAAGAACTGTTGCATTATTTTTAAATCCAAGTGTCTTGTATCTTTTTAAAACAAGATTACTTTTCTTTGTCCCATTGACAAATCTTGTTCAAAGTCAGTCAAAATGTGCTCAAATTTAAGCGATTTTATTATTTCTGTTCACTTTTTGCAGTGTAAGTGCTCGTGTTGACGCAGAGCATTCCACATTAGGGGCCATACTGTGATAATGGGCTGTAGAAGAATAAATATTGGTTTGATTTTAGTTACAGTTATACATACATTTAAAAAGTATTAAACATTTTGAGTAAGCGCTTAGACGAATAATCCTTCTGCAAATACCTAACCAAGACAATCCATATAAAACTCAGAATCAGAATCATTTTTATTGCCACGTAAGTAACAGGAGGTCACAGACTTGGAAATTGCTTTAATGATATTTGATAATAAAAATAAAGAATAAAAAAACACTTCTAAGGAATAAATGTATATTTAAAATAGAGTTACAGTTACTATTTACAATATCCAAGTGCACATGGTGCACACAATGTAAGGTGACAGCAGTACAGTGAAGTAAAGTGACGTATGATGGGCAGTAAAGTGACTTTATAAAGGGCGGGGACAGGTTAAGAAGTGTTCAAGAGTCCAACAGCAGAGGGGAAGAAACTGTTCTTGTGGCGGGAGGTTCTAGTCCTGATGGACCGCAGTCTCCTGCCTGAGGGGAGTGGTTGGAAGAGTCCATGTTCAGGTGAGAGGGGAGTGGTTGGAATAGTCCATGTGCAGGTGAGAGGGGAGTGGTTGGAATAGTCCATGTGCAGGTGAGAGGGGAGTGGTTGGAATAGTCCATGTGCAGGTGAGAGGGGAGTGGTTGGAATAGTCCATGTGCAGGTGAGAGGGGAGTGGTTGGAATAGTCCATGTGCAGGTGAGAGGGGAGTGGTTGGAATAGTCCATGTGCAGGGTGAGAGGGGAGTGGTTGGAATAGTCCATGTGCAGGTGAGAGGGGAGTGGTTGGAATAGTCCATGTGCAGGTGAGAGGGGAGTGGTTGGAATAGTCCATGTGCAGGTGAGAGGGGAGTGGTTGGAATAGTCCATGTGCAGGTGAGAGGGGAGTGGTTGGAATAGTCCATGTGCAGGGTGAGAGGGGTCGGCTGTGATACGACCAGCCCGGCCTCGAGCTCGGGCGACGTACAGGTCCTGCAGCGATGGAAGGCTGCGGCCGATCACTTCCTCTGCAGAGCGCACAATGCACTGTAGTCTCTGTTTGTCCCTGACTGTGGCTCCAGCGAACCACACGGTGATGGAGGAGGTGATGGAGGAGGTTATGGAGGAGGTGATGGAGGAGGTGATGGAGGAGGTGACGGAGGAGGTGATGGAGGAGGTGATGAGGAGGTGATGGAGGAGGTGATGGAGGAGGTGATGGAGGAGGTGATGGAGGAGGTGATGGAGGAGGTGACGGAGGAGGTGATGGAGGAGGTGATGGAGGAGGTGATGGAGGAGGGGATGGAGGAGGTGAGGATGGACTCGATGATGGCCGTGTAGAACTGCAGCTTGGCTTTCCTGAGCTGCCGCAGGAAGTACATCCTCTGCTGGGCCTTCTTGATGAGGAGCTGATGGTCGGCTCCCACTTGAGGTCCTGGGTGATGGTGGTGCCCAGGAAACGGAAGGACTCCACAGAGGTGATGGGGGAGTCCATCACGGAGGGTGGGGGCGGGGGGACAGTGCTCTTCCTGAAGTCCACAATCATCTCCACTGTCTTCTGGGCGTTCAGCTCCAGGTTGTTACCACTGCACCAGGACACCAGCCGGTCCACCTCCCTCCTGTAGGAGACACCAGGACACCAGCCGGTCCACCTCCCTCCTGTAGGAGACACCAGGACACCAGCCGGTCCACCTCCCTCCTGTAGGAGACACCAGGACACCAGCCGGTCCACCTCCCTCCTGTAGGAGACACCAGGACACCAGCCGGTCCACCTCCCTCCTGTAGGAGACACCAGGACACCAGCCGGTCCACCTCCTCCTGTAGGAGACACCAGGACACCAGCCGGTCCACCTCCCTCCTGTAGGAGACACCAGGACACCAGCCGGTCCACCTCCCTCCTGTAGGAGACACCAGGACACCAGCCGGTCCACCTCCCTCCTGTAGGAGACACCAGGACACCAGCCGGTCCACCTCCCTCCTGTAGGAGACACCAGGACACCAGCCGGTCCACCTCCCTCCTGTAGGAGACACCAGGACACCAGCCGGTCCACCTCCCTCCTGTAGGAGACACCAGGACACCAGCCGGTCCACCTCCCTCCTGTAGGAGACACCAGGACACCAGCCGGTCCACCTCCCTCCTGTAGGAGACACCAGGACACCAGCCGGTCCACCTCCCTCCTGTAGGCGGACTCATCGTTGTTGGAGATGAGTCCCAATGAGGGTGGTGTCGTCCGTGAACTTGATCAGCTTCACGGAGTCGTGGCTGGAGGTGCAGTGGTTGGTGTACAGGGAGAAGAGCAGGGGAGAAAGAACACAGCCCTGTGGGGCTCCTGTATTTATAATCCGAGAGTCCGAGACATTCTTCCCCAGACGCACTCGCTGCTTCCTGTCCGTCAGGAAGTCAGTGATCCACCTGCAGGTGGAATCGGGCACGTTGAGATGGGAGAGCTTGTCCTGGAGCAGGGATGGCAGGATTGTGTTGAAGGCAGAGCTGAAGTCCACGAACAGGACCCTGGCGTAGGTCCCCGGGGAGTCCAGGTGCTGTAGGATGTGGTGGAGGGCCAGGTTAATGGCGTCGTCTACAGATCTGTTGGCTCTGTAGGCGAACTGCAGGGGGTCCGGGAGGGGGGAGGTGAACTGCAGGGGGTCCAGGAGGGGGGAGGTGAGGGACTTGAGATGGGAGAGGACCAGGCGTTCAAATGACTTCATGACGACAGACGTAAGTGCTACAGGTCTGTAGTCATTGAGTCCTGTGATCCTGGGCTTCTTCGGGACGGGGACAATGATGGAGGATTTGAAGCCGGCCGGGACATGGCAGGACTGCAGAGAGGTGTTGAAAATGTCAGTGAACACAGGAGTAAGCTCACTGGTGCAGTGTCTCAGAGTGGCCGGAGACACGTGGTCCGGGCCGGGAGCTTTGCGGGGGTGCAGCCTCAAGAAGAGTTGTTTAATCTCTTTAGAGGCTATTGTCAGGCTGGGGGCAGGGCTGATGGGTGGGTCGTTAGAGTAGTGGGGGGTGGGGGAGGGAGAGGTGTCAGGGGCAGCATCAAAGCGACTGAAAAATAAGTTCAGTTCGTCAGCTAGCTTGTGTTCGTCAGCACAGGGGGGGGCTTTGGGTTTGTAGTTGGTGATCTCCCGTAGGCCCCTCCAGACAGAAGCAGTATCGTTGTTACAGAACTGCTCCTGTAGTCGTTCTCTGTGCCGGGACTTGGCTGCTTTCAGTTCTTTCCTGAACTGATATTTAGCCGCTTTGTAGCCGCTGCGGTCCCCCTCCCTGAAAGCAGACTCCTTTGCTTTCCTGAGCTGCCGGAGTTTAGCAGTGAACCAGGGTTTGTCGTTGTTATAGATGACCCTGGTCCTTGTTGGAATGATGCTATCCTCAAAGAAGTGAATGTATGACGTCACAGTGTCCGTATATTCATCCAAACTATCTGTGGCAGCTCTGAAAAGGTCCCAGTCTGTAGATTCCATGCATGCAGCTCTTCCACAGCTTCATCAGACCACACTTTGGAGCTCCTCACTGCAGGTTTCGAGAGCTTTAGTCTCTGTCTGTAAGCAGGAACCAGATGTATCATGGAGTGATCTGAGAAGCCGAGGGCTGCCTTGGGAACAGCGCGAAAAGCTCCGCGCACGGTGGTGTAACAGTGATCCAGAGTGTTCTCCTCTCTGGTCGGGCATTTGATAAACTGTCTGTATTTGGGTAATTCCTGGCTCAAGTTTCCCTTATTAAAATCCCCCAGGATAATAATCAGAGAGTCCGGGTATAAGCGTTCCATACACAGTACTTGCTCTGCGTCCGCGCATGGCGGTATGTAAACAGAGGCAAGAATGAATGAAACAAACTCACGAGGAGAGTAAAATGGTTTACAATGAATGAAAAGATATTCCAGAGCAGGAGAGCAGTGCTTGGAGATCACTGTCACATCGTTACACCAGTTTGTATTGACGTAGAAACACAGCCCACCGCCTCTGCTCTTCCCTGAGAGCGCACAATGGCGATCCGCGCGAAACAGCCCAAAGCCCTGCAGCTCCAGAGCACAGTCCGGGATCCGCTCATTTAGCCAGGTCTCAGTGAAGCAGAGGACACAGAGGACACCAGGTCTCAGTGAAGCAGAGGACACAGAGGACACCAGGTCTCAGTGAAGCAGAGGACACAGAGGACACCAGGTCTCAGTGAAGCAGAGGACACAGAGGACACCAGGTCTCAGTGAAGCAGAGGACACAGAGGACACCAGGTCTCAGTGAAGCAGAGGACACAGAGGACACCAGGTCTCAGTGAAGCAGAGGACACAGAGGACACCAGGTCTCAGTGAAGCAGAGGACACAGAGGACACCAGGTCTCAGTGAAGCAGAGGACACAGGATGAAGTCCTTGTTTCTTCTCATGAGCAGGCTGAGTTCGTCTTATTGCCCAGTGAGCGTACGTTGGACAGAAAAATGCCGGGGAGAGGCTCCTCTCCTCCTCAGACGCACGAGCAGCCTCCGCGCTTTCCCCTTTTACGGGCCCACACTTTTTTGGCTAGAACATGAACTAAATCAGCCGCAGATGCCAAGAAAACAGGCAATAGGTCAAGAAAACAGGCAATAGGTCCATGGGGACGGTGGGTCGGATGTTCATAAGTTCCTCACGGGTGTAGGAACAGCCAGATGCACAGTTAAAAAGTAAAAACAAAAGAAAAAGAGAGCAGCAAAGAGCCGTGGCAACCGTACGAGGCGCCATCTCACTGCAAGTGAGATTAGTGTTACTATGTGACTGAATACACATAATTTTCCCCAATGCAGACTGATAATGATGATAATAATAAGTAAATCCAGCACATAGGATTGGGGGAGGTTGAACTTGTTTGTAAGCGCTCGTGTTGACGCAGTGCATTCCACATTAGGGGCAGGTTTTGGGTTTTTTACCTGATACAAAGTGGCCATGACGTTCACACAGCCTCTTTAGGTCAAGGATGGAAACTGGACACCCGGGCGTCACACACGGGTGGTTGGCTGAGTTCAGAGCTGGTTGCACAATAGGTCTGGTGCAGTAAAGCCGTGAGGGTATAATGACAGTGCGTACGTTAGATGGAGGAAGCACAACTCCACAACCATAAGAAGAAAAAAAGATATATATAGAACTAAAAGTTATCAAAAACAGAAAAGCAAATCTTCTGCTATCCAAATATACATACAAATATATTTAGTGCACCATAATAGATTGATATTTAAAGCTGGGGTACCTAAATTGCACTTGTTGTTTGTCCTACAGAAAGCAACATTTTATGAACAAATCATGTGTTGTCTTCATCTCATTAAAAACATTTGATCTCTTTCATACCAGTGAGAAAGAACCATGTGAGTCACTATTTGACACTTTGGGCTGAGAGCACTTGTGCAAGTTCCAAAAACAAACAAAAATTCTTGCATCAAACAAACTATTAATGCACAGGAATCACTATTCATCACAAAAAATTTAGTCCCTTCTAAAAATACTGATTTTTGAAGTATGCTTTACTATTTTTTTTCCTCTTTTGATCAAACTGAACAGTGGGAGAATAAACCAAAAGGCAACAATGACATGCTTAAAGCTGCACTAACTGACTTTATTTTTGTATTCATTACGAAAGTGCTGTCCATGTCCATGTAGTGCATTGGGATATACGTCCTTTTGAAGAATAATTAGCGCAGATTTGTGCTGGCGTGACATTATATTTTAGATCGAGTTTTGATGAAACAAGAGAATGTGTTTCGGGTCGCAGATTGTGACCAATCACAGCGGACCACTGGCCCCCACTTCCATGAGAAATCTACAGGTCCGTTAGCATAGACAGCTGAGTTAGCACAACAAGTGGCGGAGCTAACCTGAAGCTTCGTGTCTTCATCACCGGTTACTGCTTACTCAGCGAAACAGCCATCCAAAAGAAAGTCCCATTCCTCCGCGCTTCCCGGTTCTATCGTTCTATGGTCACGCCATCCACGTGCAAATCCATATCCATGTATTTATCCATATTGGGAGACACTAGCTCCGTCCCAACAGTGAGTGTGTGTGGGGGGCGATAGCTTCGTGGGTGAGGGGAGGGGAGCAGAAAGAGAGAGGCCAGCGAGTCCGCGGCTTCAAAATCCCAAAGTCAGTTAGTGCAGCTTTAAGTAAATACACAGTCGGCTCTTCCAGTCGGTCTCCACAACAGGGACTTCTTTAGCCAGAGGAAATAATGACTGAAGTCTATTTGAAGACTCACAGGCCGCCGTGTTTGTTTACAGAAAAAACACATTTCTCAATCGGTAACAGCTCAGTTCAAATCTAATCCAGAAGAACACTGACAAAAAGACACATAATGCTGATTTACTGCATCGTTTGCCTTTCAGCGAAGGATTCCTGGAAAAAAAACATTGAATTTTCT